CTAAACTGATCTTCTGTATATAAAGAGAAACGAAAATGAATCTTGATATGAATGGAAGGGGAGAGGGAGTGGATAAGGGGAGGGTTGTGGGTGGGAGGGACGTTATGGGGGGGAAGCCATTGTAATCCATAAGCTGTACTTTGGAAATTTATATTCATTAAATAAAAGTTAAAAAAAAAGAAAATGGATAGATGGTGAGAAAAGTCTGTAAAATAGATTATAGACTTAAGTAAAGGTCAAGTTCTATTTGCTAAAAAACACAAAACCATATTTTGAGATTGCTATAAGTTAGATAATATGAGTATTTATTAAGAATAGACTATTTTCTGACATGTATGGAGATTAATGATCACAGCTACCTGAATAAAGATATTGTGAGGATAAAATCAGTCAATATATGTGAAACATACATAACAGAGTTTGGTATATAATAAGGCCTCAGTAAATTCAGCCAATAAGAGCTCTATCAAATAGTTGGGAAATTAAATACACAGAAAAAGAATATTTTGCTTAAAAAGCAAAATCTGTAAAATCTGTATGAGTGTGTATGTAATGGTCTGGATAGTGTTTATCACAAAGGAATTGATTTATCTTAGCTTTAAATGACAGATACAATTTTAAGAATATTACAAATGAAGGATAGTAGAATAAGAGAGGAGATGACATGAAAAAATTAGGGAAATCATGTAACTAAAGAATGAACAGGCATTTTGAACCTTGAAGAAAATTTTAATTGGGAAGCAAACAAAGGCTAGTCATGTAATTGGACAGAGTCTCCTCTGGGCACAGCAGAGTCATGGACATTGTTGAGTGAGAGAATCATGTGATGAAGTGACGTTTAAAGGTATGATCTAAATACTTTGTTCAGGCAAAATAGAAAGAAATATGGGTAAGAGTCAAAAGTTGTAGGAAAACATTCATCAGTGGAAAACAAATTCAGTTTGGATAATAGCACAGATAATAGAAAAGGGGAATGAGTGAAAAGTCATAATTTTAAGTAGTCAAGGTTGAAAAGTTTTGAAACAAATTTTATCATTATCCATCCTATGCTAAAATTTAATCTCAACTCTTATTTCAAAATCAGTTGCTTACTTGCCATGACTTTAGAATAATATCTCAACTACTGCCTCAATGAACAGTTGAGACTTGATACGTGAGTCGTCTCTCCAGCTTGCCTTTACTACAACTGAAATTTTGTCTGTTTTTCTGTTTTAAAATCTTTATATTTTTCCTTAGAATGAAGTGTTTCCCTTCTTCCCCAACCCCTTGTCATTTCCTCTTATTCTTATAAATTAATTTCCAATTTGAACATTTAGATAAAGTCAATGATCCACTTTTACTCTTTTCTTGTACATCACTAAAATAAGTCAATAAACATTGACACGAATTTTGCAACTGTCTTATCTCACCCACAAGATACGATGAGCCTGAAATGAGAAACCAATTTTATCTTTCTGCCATTGCTAGCATCTATCATAATGTTTTGAATTTTCTAAATGCTCAAAAACTATTTGCCTAATAAATTAATGAAGGATGTGCTATTTCTTGGCATGTGTGTGATGTTGAAATCCTCAGAGGATTTTTTTTTTGTATTAAAGGCAGATAAATTCAGAATTCAGAATCCTCCTTCAAGAATTGGAGAGATAAGGATCCCTGTTTCATTGAAGATGAAACTGCAAATAGTTAAATATAGGGTGTCACACAGGAATCCAACTCTTGCATCAGAAGAGGAACCTTAAGCCTATACTTTATAGGAGTCTGCTAATGAAGTATTTGGGGTCATGCCCAAATGAGTTCTTCCTTCTTAGTGACACTGTTATTATGAAATAACATCAGTTCAATGTATATTAATGTACAAATTGCATCAAGGCACTCTACTTTCTGAAGTGTCTGGACATTTTTGCAGTATTACCTTTATACACACAGACACACAGACACACACACACACACACACACACAATGAGAGTCTCTAAAATTGAAATTATCTTATTGCAAAAATGAAAGGGAAAAAAATGAAGGAGGGGAAATTGAGGGAGAGAAGTATGTTTATCTTCTTAGAAGTTTATCTATAAAATACATGAGTATGTTCACTTTATATTAATAAACTTTAAAAATAGTTAAACCTAAGATTATTCTCTGGAATGGGTTAAGGATGTCATTGCATGAAAAATTATTTGTATATAATGTTTTACAGTTTGGATTACTTTTTTATTACATCTCAATAAATCCTCATTTTTGCAATTGTTCCATAAAATCATATTGATCAGTATCAATTATCAGAGCATGTATATATCCAGCCCGGGTGCACACTACATAATGGTAGTAATACCACCCTATTTATGTATATCGGGAAAATGTTTTGTTCAAATGACTAGAAATTCCTAAACCTCTAGTTTGCTTATATCCATGCTTGAAATTTAAAGTTTACTGTGTAGACTTGTAATGATTAATTGATATCACAGAAATGGGTACCATACCACAGAGAGTATCACAGAGAAAGAACTACATGAGTACTAGTTTTCTTGTATTCTTTCCAGGGAAAAACATTCATGAACATAGAATAGATAAAAAGACACACATACACTTATATACATAAGTATACTGGCATGCTAATGATGCAGGCTTGGACTCCTGCTTATGTTAGAGAAGAGCAGACATAAAGAGCTTCAGCACATGAATTTGATAAGCGTTCAGCTAAGTATAGATGTACCTATTACCAACGCTATTGACTGATGCTTGTAGGATTTTGCAAGACTTTAGAAGCTGTGTACAAACAGTACCAGGTGATGAAGTCGTGGGGGTAGGAGAGGCAGCAAGTGGGGCTCCTTCAGCACAAACTTTCAAAGTATGGTAGCCTCTGACCTAAAATACTGAGTAGCATTCACACATTAGTACAGGACTGCAGAGAACATATCATTTTATTTTCAAATCCCTACCTCTGATAGTAAAATTGTCATATATTTCCCATAAAGAAAATAATCTTCTACCTCAAAAGTTCTCTTCCTGGACAGATGGAAATTCAACATATGTGGGTGTACCATTTGAACATTAAAGCAGAAGTGTTGTGATAGAAATTGACTTTTCAACCAAGCAGAATTGAAATTTAGACCTAGCAGATAATTCAAATTCCATTAAAATAGTTGTTGGAGGGAGGTACTGGATATGTCAACATGAAAAATGGAGTGGGGTGGTTATAATATACCATAATTAAGCATTTTAAAACCATTTTTTCCAGAATTACAAATCTTCAAGTGTCTTTCAAAGTACTCAAACTTAAGAAAACGACACTTATTCTTATGCAATCACTTATATAAAGCATTTTAGAAACTCTTTTTTGGAAACTGACATCAGAACCAATGCAGGAGGCAAAACAAATCCACATGTGAGTCTGTGTATCTTATTTATTTTACCAAGAACTATAGCTTTCAGTTGTAGTATGAGTAATCACGAAACACATAAGTCTGGAATAATCATGTAAAATATCATGTTTTCCAGCTTTCTTTAAGGAGTTTTATGTGGATTTTTTGTTCATACTAGGATACATAATTTTAATCGAGCCCAACCTCATTATCTATATTTAAGATCTTAAAACACAAACCAGACTTTCTGTTTGAGTTATTTATTAAAGTTAATAAAAAGAGCATTTATTATTTGAACAAAGATACTTTGCTATGAAGTTAATCTGTACTGGGATTCTGAAATAAAGGGAGCACATTGAAATTTTGTATAGTTATAGTAGTTTCAGCTTTTTCTGCCATTTAGGTTATAGGAGTTTTCACCTCCCTTATAACACTCTTGGTTGCAAGTGACTTCATTTGAGTAATTTCCAAAGATAACTGGATTTTCCTTCAGATAAAGAAAATTTGCCCCTGTTTTAAAAAAATGATACAATTTTTAAAAACAATTCCAAGAGGGGGATTTTAAGAATTTGCCATGGTGATTGTAACTGGAATAAGTTCATAGCCTTCAAAAGTGTCTGTTTTGGTTGGATAATTTAAGAAGAAATCCTATTAAAATCTAGACACGCAGGCTTCTCAATATATTTAATAAATGGAACGCATTGTAAGGAACATCCAATTTTATCGGAAGTAAGAGCGCTTCTTCCTGCACTCTAATGAAGAGTTCTGATGCAGTCTCATCCAACCAGGAGGAAGAGTCTGTTTACAAAACCCTCACCCTCTAGGGTATATAAAGGGCCAAGGCAAGTGGGGCTCAGAATGAAACTTGCATTCAATTCTTTCCCTCAAACACAGCCTGCTCTCAAAACCCTCGCTATGTCTTGCCAGAACTACTCTCGCAACTGCAGCTCAGGCTCCCCCGGAAATTCCTGCCACATCCCTGCCTCCTCCTCCGTTGCCCGCTGCTCTACAAATGTGAGCTGTGGAGATGTCTTCTGCTTACCCAGCAGCTGTCAAGATCGTGCCTGGCTCACGGACAAAAGCCAAGAGACCTACATTGAACCAACAAGCTGCCAGCCAACCAACTGTGTGCCCAGCAACTGCGCAAACTCCTGGAGATCTTCCACTATTTACTATGTGCCCAGACCCAGCCTAGGAACCAGTTTTATTCCTGCTTCTTCCTGTGTCTCCAGCTCCTGCCTCCCAGTATCCTGTAAACCTCCGAGCTATGTGTCCAGCAGTTGCCGTCCGCAGAACACCCTGATCAATACTTGCCAACCCATAGGTAGCGTGCTCAGTGCCTACCGCCCTTTGACCTCTCTGTCCAGCAGCTGCCGACCCCAGAGCCTCCTCACTTATGGATGCCAACCCGTAGGTTACTTGGCCTGTGGTCCTCAAGCAGTTCATATCGTCTCCAGCAGCCCAAGACCTCTGCCGCCTCCATCCAGCGGCTGCCAACCTGTGACCCACGTGTATGGCACATGTCATCCATCTTGCTCTGTCCAGGGAGGCCAGTAGTGTGCTTGTTCCAGCAAATCATCATGCTGAAGACTCAGGATATAAATTCAAACTCCATGGACTTCTGGTTCTTTCTTAGTGGTGTCTGATTGCTGGTTGGGTGTTTCTACTATAGCTGATCTAATGTGATTTACTACTTTCACATTTTCATCTTTCCTTGATGTTAAAAAAATTGGTTTACAATGTGTCTCAATGTTGCCTGAGTGTGGGAAGCATGTATTTGTTCGCACTATAATAAACAAGATCATGTCAAAGCTAAGAATCTGGTTCATTGGTTTTCTTTCATTCCTTCATTCTGACACAGAAATGGTGAACCCAGACTCCTTATAAGATTTGTGAATAAGACAAAGTGCTGTGTAACAATGTGCTCTTACTAATAGTAGAGAGATGATTTGATGGTGTGATTCCTCAAGCTGTTTTTTAGACTTCTGATGCTATGTCCTTGAGAGATCCAGGAATCCTTGGTGGAATGTGTTTTGCAAAGGCAAGATGAGGAATTATATCTTTTAGCTCTCTCTTCCACTGGAATGTTTTTTCTCATTACAAACCTAACCATAAGCTTCTACTTAATCCTTAGATGACATTGTATGATCGATTCCCATAAGGTAAAAGCCCAAATCCCTTACCATGATACTGGATTCCTTCATTGTCTTCCTCCTATTATTTGATTGAATCCCCTTTTGCTGTGTATCAAAAATCCAATTCTGAATTACACATAGATCCCCAGCATGATTTTGAAAATCATCCTTTTTGCATATGCCATCAACAAGATTAGGATCTCTATTTTATCTGCTTTGAAAATTCATGCTCACTTTTGAAAACACAGTCCTATGATTCACATATTGGCCTATTGATTTCTTCAGCCAAGAGATTATTGCTTTCCTACTATGTACTGAGACCCCATGTGCTGAAAACAAGAGATACGGTGTGAAGACAAACTTAAACTATTGCTAAGTTTACCAGCAGTTAGATATCTTCGGTTACTTCTTTATTAAAAATACATTCTTCAGCTTTTCAAAATTAGCATGTGTAGAAGTACATAATTTACTAATTAAAATAAAACTAAACTGTAAAGACATTAATGTTCACATGTTTAAAGACCTGGACTATCTAGAAATGGTTGGTAATCAAGAAGAACAAGAGTTTTTAGGAGTTACCAGCATCTCTCCTTTTAGACATGGTCTAAAATTCCAGTTTTCCTTTTGCCCTATAAACTTCTTGATACCAACACAGTGTGCCAGTTCCTTCTATCATCGTGTTCATGCTGCTGTTTTAAAATTGATCCTATTTCTGTATTTTTACTTACATGTCTGACTTCCATAGGTATTTTAAGCTTATGGCATTTGCACCCATTGTTTGTTAGAAGCCTTTCCCAGGCTTTCTCCTTGTCCCTATGCTGCTCAGTAAATCATACCTGACTCAGCCTGTCTTGTATCACAGACATACATCTATTGTAACCCTTGGTGGGCTGTTTTTTAAAAATGAAATTTTAATTGACATATAATTTTATTTGTGCACAAATCAATATTCCCCAGATGGATCCATTCTTCCAGCATCTTACCCATGTAAATTATATGCATATATTAAACTTTAAAATGCAATTATACATTACCTTCCCAGTTGTCTTGGGCTCTTTTTACTAAATATTATATTTTTTATGTTCTTCCATCTTGCTATATGAACCAGTAGTCTTCTTTTTCATTAATGTATGATTTCAAAATAGCAAAATGTCAAAATGTATTTGCACATTTGTCTGGTGATAAGCATTAGGATTGTTGTAAGCTTTGATTTAATAGAATATAGAATATTATTTTATTTTTCTATGTATATTTATATACACATGGAAATTTTATTTTAAGTAATAAATGTATATGAAAATTGATTAAGTTATATGGAAATGACTGTTTAGCTCTATTCATATTAGCCCTAAAGTTATGCAAATATTACTTCTATTAGGATAGGAAAATTTCCATTATCCTGAATCTTCTCCAATACTTATCATTGTTAGTCTTTTCATTTGGTTGACATTCTAGTTGATATGTGGTTGTGATGAATGTTGATTTTATTTTTAATTTGTCTGATTTTTATTTTTAACTTGTGATGGGATTGAGCATATATTTCTCTTGGTTGATATCTTAGACATCTGCATACTCTTGTGTGTGAAACAACACATTAATTGGTAAAGTAACATTCACATGTTTTACACATGATTTTAGTTTTTCCATCTGTATTTAGAATTGAAAGAGTTCTCTGCATAGACTCAATATTTGTTCTGTTTGTTATACACTTTAAAATATTTATTTATTTATATTTGAAAGTCAAAATTACAAAAATGACACAGAGGCAGACAGACAGAGACCTTTCATCCACGGTTCACTCTCAAGGGCATGTGAAAGCAGTGTTGTTCCAAGACAAATCAGGAGCTCAGAACTCTTCCATAAAGGTAGCAGGGATCAAGTACTTGAGCTATCATCCACTGTCTCACACGATGTATCTTGGCAGGAAGCTGAAATGAGGAACAGAGCTAGACTTGAACAAGGAATTTTGTTATGAGATGCAGGCATCCCAAGTGGATTGCTAACCACTGTACGAAATACCTGCACCTAGTTACATGTATTTCAAATATGTTCTTGACATTATTAAATATATTTTTATTCTCTTAACAGTATATTTAGATTAATAGAACTTAGTATCATTTATTAATTTTTTAAAGATTTATTTATTTATTTGAAAGGCAGAGTTATAGAGGAAGGGAGAGATAGAGAGAGAAGTCTTCCATCTGCTGGTTCACTTCCCAAATGGCCTCAATGGCTGAAGCTGGGCCAATCAAAGCCAGGAGTCTGAAACTTCTTCTGGGTCTCCCATGTTGGTGCAGGGGCCCAAGCATTTGGGCCAGCTTCCACAGCTTTGCCAGGCCATAGCAGAGAGATGAATCAGAAGTGGAGCAGCCAGGACTCAAAGCCGTGCCCATATGAGATGCTGGCACTATAGGTGGAGGCTTAACCTGCTATGGCACAGTGACAGCCCCATTTACTAATCTTTTGTAGTTAGTATTTTTGTCCTTTTTTTAGATATATTTTATCCTACATTAGTAAAGATGTTAACTTTATAAATTTTTGCCTTAACACTCAACATTTAAATATATCATCAATGGAAAATTTGTGTGTGTGTGTTTCTAAGCATTTCTATATTTTAAAGATTTATTTGTTTACTTGAGAAGTAAAGTTACAGATAGAAAGAAAGAGAGGTAGAGTTGTCTTCCATCTGCTGATTCACTCCCCAAATGACCACAGCAGGCTGATGTAAAGCCAGGAGTTAGTAGCTTCTTCTGGGTCTCTACATGGGTGCAGGAGCCCAAGGACTTGGGTCATATTCTACTGCTTTTCCAGGCCATAGCAGAGAGGTGGATTAGAAGAGGAACTGCTGGGACTTGAACCGGCACCCATATGGGATGCTGGCAGGACAGGTGGATACTTAAGCATACTATACCACAGTGCGGGCACCTTTCAATCTATTTTAAACAGTAAATGGAAGGGGCCGGCACTGTGGCTCACTTGGTTAATCCTCCACCTGCGGCACTGGCATCTCATATGGGCGCCGGCTTCTAGTCTCTGTTGCTCCTCTTCCAGCCCAGCTCTCTGCTGTGGCACAGGAAGGCAGTGAGGATGGCCCAAATGCTTGGGCCCCTGCACCCACATGAGAGACCAGGATGAAGTTCCTGGCTCCTGGCTTCAGATTGGCTGTAGCGGCCATTTGGGGAATGAACCAACAGAAGGAAGACCTTTCTCTCTGTCTCTCTCTCTCTCGCTGTCTATATGTCAAATAAATAAAAAAAAATAAGTGGAAGAAGATGATTCTATCTCATATATTTAGTATGTGAACTTTCTGATTCATAATTGTTTTTGAAGAAGACCTAATATGTTTCCTTGATTAAGCTTCATTATGGAAGAAAAATGTAATATTTATATTCATGTTTTGGCAAAAACAAATTATTTTTCACAATATACAGAAAAAGAAGTTATTATATCCAGAATGTTAATTAGAAGTAACATATTGGTAGTTGGATATTAATAAAGAATATTTAATTTTTTGTGAAATAAAGTTGCTTTGAGACCTAATAATGTAATATAAATCTAGAAGTCAGTGCATATCAATTATAATTTATTTCCTCAAATTATTAAGTCATCATGGATCGAGTTATGTTGGAGGTGACCAAGAAATGTTATACCTGAATGCAGAAATCAAGCACTTTAGTCGTATAAGGCAGCAAACAATGAGGTCCCATAAGTATCTCTCTGAAAACTGTGTCTTGAAGGTCCTACACTGGATTAATGATGGGAGCTGTTAGTATAAAAATCTATGAAATATCTTTGGGATTTTCCCCCATGGTCTTTGTAAATAACACTACTCTCTGTTGCTTCAAGTAAGGTGTTACTTGACTAGAACCCTTATTTGCTCTCCTCCTTTTTTATTCTTTACATGGCCAAGCAGACAATTTTCAAAAATTTTACTTACTGATTTTCTTTTAATTTTAAATTCAATCTTTAAATTCAATTTCTCATTGTACTGTGAGAGGACGAAAAAAAAAATCCATAGTGCCTTGAATGCTTTGCTGCTTAGATATTTCTTTTGCCAGATAACTCACCACTCTTGAGCTTTGTTATCCAAGTCCTAGAACACAGATACAATGCCATCAAGTTTTTATACACTACGTAACAAGGTTGGTCTTTACTTGAGTTTCCTCATTTCTGCCTGACATCTAATTAGAATGTCCTTTGCTCTCCATTTCACATCAAGATTCTGATCATGGTCACTTGTGTAACATCTTAGAACTCCTGACTCTCTCTATGTTTCTCTGTTCTTCCAAGTCCTCACCAGAGTCATATTAAATTTTCTGTTTATGGAAATCCAAGATTTTTCTAGCCCATTCCTCCAAATATTTCAAGTTTGTCACCATGAATTGTCCCCAAAGCTCTTGCATGATTTCAAGTTATTTATTACTGCAACAGGTCCTGCCTCTTGTACCATTGTCTTATTCATTTTTGTGTTTCTATAAGACAGTAGCTAACACTGAGTAAGAAGATAAGATTTATTTCCTACAGTTTTGGGGGATGAAAAGCATAAGACCTACAGACTAGCATCTGCTGATACCTTCTTATCAATTTATCCCTTAGCAGAAGGTCAAAGGGAAAGAGAGAATCAGAGATTGAACCCACATCTTCATGATCATTAGTGCTAATATAGTCATGATGGCAGAGCCCT